CTCCATAAAACAGAAAACATGCATTTTTTCCAATTTCACGCCATAACCTATAACAAGCCAGGGGGTAACGTAACAACACTCGAAGCGATAGGTTGTAGCGATTTTAAAAACGCGCGACAGTGTACAACACGATCGGCTGACATAACTGAACGATTAAAACAATATAAAAGTGAGAAAGTTGTGCGATATATCCTATGATGAAAAAGGTTATCCGAAGTTTAAGCAGGCGGCTGCTTGTTGTCATCTCGTCGCGATCCGTCTAGAAGGAATAGATTAATCGGGTGTGTCCTACCGAGAGATAGAGAGAATGTTTTGCTATGTAGCATTCAGAGTTAGAAACCAAACTAATTTGCAAGTCTTAGCATTATTTGCATTAATTTCGGATGTTATGTAGATAGTGCACTTTCCCCTTCAACACCGTAGTGCGTCGCCTTCAAACAATGCATGATTGGAAGTGGATATATCCACGTCACAAATATCGGTAGTACACGAGGCGTTTGCAGTCACTATTACTCATGTACGAAATGATAGACATAAGAGTGTGATCTCTTTCACTTTGTTGTGAATCGACCGTTAGTTGATTAGACAAAACAAGCGAGTTAGAGACGTAAAGCTTCTGTGTATATCATAAAACTTTGGTAGGTTCATATTCTACCCATAGGTCTGTGCACGCTACACCCAACTCCGCATGTTTTCCGTTAACTATTACATGACCTCAAGGCAGAAAAGCTAATGCGAGACGGCTATCCGATACCAGTTACTTCGAAAACAACGGGACGTCACGAAGTTGTCGTTGGTGAAGTAGCCATTCACCAAGGTAAGGAACAAATGGTTCGAAAGCACCCGGGATGTCTGCGCAGTGTTGGCATTACAATAATCGTTTCCCAAGATAGTCTTGATCGGTAAATGTAGCGGGGTTTGGCTGATTGCGTGGCACACCTTCCTCCCATCTGTTGTATATGTTATGACTACATCCGACATTATAATTGCCAAATTTATCCTGCGAGACGTGAGGAAACCTCTATTTGGAATGGTATTAGACTCACACTTTGCAGAGTATGGTCGGATTAGGGAACAAGGATTATAGCAACCATTTGGCCTATCGTCCAGTATTTGCGGCCGTCGTTGGAGTGGATTATGGTGAATTACCGCGGGGTTGTAAAAAAATATCACCTTACCGGACGGTAGCTATTTCATTTGGCTGTGATGTGACAGCCAGTCGCTACTTTAAATCATACTTTAATCAGTTGACTTGACCGCTGAATAGACTGGCCCTGCCCGGTTTCGATGGGTGCCTGTTGGGTCTGATATTACATCGACGAGTGGTAATTGTACTGCTTAAAGTTTGACTATTCGAAACATAAATTATGCCCAGGCTGGCATTGAAGAAGGGCAGACTGATTTTATCCTAGAATATAAGTAAACTTTTCATGCCAGATTTATCCAATGATACGTCTTTATTTTGTCACTGTTTCGCGGACAACCACTACACAACAGTTATGTTATTTTAGCTATATTTTTTGTTGCGTGTAAGGTTGCAGCAAAAATGTACTGACGATGCATTTGTAACGCATTCAAAATCTTACTTATGCACCTTTCAGTTCCGCTTTCTAAACTACCTTGCCTCTTCGTCATCCAGCTCTACCGTTTCCCAGTTATCTCTTGTTGCTAAATGTAATTACATCCTATGTACTTGCTAAGACGTCGGCTCACCTTTTTCTCCTCCTCTTTTCCCTTCCGGATTCTTGTGGTTACCACGACACACACTGCTTTAAGAAACCCCAGCAATAACTTGCTTGGTTACAGGCTAGACGAAAACCTACCAACGGCTGCTCGTTACACATTAATCTATTCCACAATGCGCAAACGTTCCACTGTTATACTTACCCCGGATTTTTGGGTGGCTTTGTGGACATAAGGCTTTCGTAGAGGATTAACAGCGTGTATATGGATTGAGAAACTCACTTAGGTGGGATCGCTATGTCTTCATAGTTATGTTGAATCGGTAAAGTAGCTCTGAAGTTGGTGGGATTGCCCTTAAGAAAGCGAATAACAGAACTGGTTTCTAGATTAGCCCGGCAAAGATGCATCAGTGGCAATGTGGCGTCCAATTTAGCACCGATTTCTTGCACTGATTTCTGGAGGCATATAAACTCAATACTATTCTTGTGGGGAGCTTTATATGGCTTCAATGTTAGAGCATTTCTGGGGCTGCCCTTCGAAGTAATGAAAGTCGTCTTTTACCGAAGCTTTTTGCATGACATTTGCGTGTGCATATATCATATATATATATATATATATATATATATATATATATATATATATATATCCATCTGGCCGGACCGTCGCAGCGGTCAGGTTAGGTGAAATGGCGAAGGGAATTATCCGTTAACTCTGCAGCGCAAATGATCCAGCCAGTGGTTATAGAAGGCTTAGTTATTTCATGCTACAAACATGGTGATGCATTAGTCATAAGCTTTACAGTTTAGACCAAATGCATCGCGAAGCTATTATGTCTTGCAATTACCGACGCTAATTCATGACCAAGAAAGTGGAACAGATAAGTGACTTCTTAGTTTTACCTTCATTCTGGTTCTAATATGTGTTTGGTAGCTGTTTTTCTCCTGCCATAGTACACGTTCAGAAAGTTATCATCTGGAAGTGGTATTCGTCCGCATTCAAGAAGCGGCTCTTTGTTCTCTGTGGGCTTAAATCCTGAGAACAGATTCAAGACAGATTCCGAATCTCTTCACCGGACAGAACAAAGTCCAATAGGACTTTGCAGATTGCCGAGGTGAAAGTCGTGACAAGTAGAAAAGATCTAACGTCCAACCTGTAAAGTCCCAAACTTTAAGCGAGGCCGTTTACAGCTTTCAGAGGTGACAGAATTGTCCAGAAACCTACCCCTGAGCTACTAAGGTCAATTTGGTACGAAGTTCGACTGTATCACGGTCTTGCTCTCTCGTAGCCATTATTTATTGTGCACCAGTCAACCCTTCCTGCTTTTTCGATATTCAGATTATTCCTTTATTCATTTTTATCAATCCGTATGTTAAACTTCAGCGAGGAGAGGTACGCTTCAGGGTTGTTGCCCTTTCTGCTGTTCATTTCCGTCGTAAATACCCATAATTTATCACTTCCGACGCGTTTTTTATCTTGACGATAGCACTATATATCTGCAGTTCTACCCTTTAAAATTTATTTAGGGACTTCTCAGAGGAGTTCCTACATTAAAGAACGATCATTGTGATACTTATGGTGACGCGGCATCGGTATACGCAGACCCCATAAAAGAGGGGTGTGGTTTTCTCATTTGTGAGCAATTAATAGTTTATCATTCTTGGTTATTTGTCTCAAACATCGGTTTTGGACTGAAAATACGTATGCTAAGAGAGTTCTTGACACAGGCGTGTTCAACTCGCTGCCACCGTATTGTCTGTCAGGTTATCGTATGAGCGTACAAGCCGGCACGTAGTCCATGCAAACAAAACGTACCGGCATTGTTTGACAAAAAAGTGAAGCTACTAACTGTTGTTCCTGAAGTCGGATCTCGCAAGTGTCTCTGTTCGTTCTACGAACACACTCCATCCTCCGTAAGTTCTACGCTTCCACGTTTAGGTTAGTACTATTCACTTTCCACTGGACTTCTTGCTTCTTTTATTTCAATCTAGATCCCCTTGGGTTTCTTGATAAGAAGTTCCACGAGAATCAAGTACTCTTCGGAACAGCTTCATAGCCTCCTGGCTTATTCTTGAAGTTTTCCACATGCCATGGCGACGTAAGCAGACGCCAGCCAATGATTCGTGCTTTATGAATATGAGGGGACGCCACTCCGTGGGTGGAAAAATGGTATAACGGGCTTTTCTGAGTGGGCACTACTGTATTGTCAACTTTTTGATGAAGATGATGAACATGGATGGCGTGTTGGATGTGGTGAGTATGTGAACTAAAGATAGTGTAATACATCTAACTCTTCCTTTGGATTCACAATCCAACTGTATTAACGAAATTAGATATTCAGACAGCAGTGCAATATACGCAGAAAAAGCCGCGAGCGAAGTCAGAATTGGGAAATTTGAACATCAGCTGAACCCTACCTTCATGAGTTTCTACAACCAAAGCGTCTCAGAGGGCAACCCTCCGTCTTTTTCTGCCTCTACTTTTCATGCATCGTCTGCCAGTGAAAGTCTCCTTCTCCACCTTACTGTCCAAAGCTGCAATCAAAATATGGCGCCTACTAGATGACACTGATGAAACACAACACCCATGCAGTGATCTGCCACACGTAGAGTCTTGGAAGTGACACAGGCCTCAGGGTGAAGAATTGTGATGCAACGCATCTTCGAAATCTCAAAGCCAACAGAGCAAACAACATTCAGAAAGAACACTCCATTCCACAGATGGTCAAAGATACTGACCTAGGCCTAAGTTTCTTCACAGCTTTAGGGATCTGCATAAACGGTTCAGAAGTGGTCGCAGAAACAGGCCATCTGACAAATTTCACATTTATCCACCCCTCACTTTCAAGTCAAACCCGACATCTCTGTGGCATATAAAGGTCTCTCTTTTCACTTTCCATCACACAGTAACTTTTTCTTTCAAATTTTACTTGATCTGTGTCGGAATTCATTGCGTTTTGCCCCCCGAAAGGTTTAAATTGAAACCATTGATCTTCCAGCAGCCTCATAGTCTTGTTGCACGCTTCATCAACAAACTACAATGAGAAGCAAACTACAAATGATCACATGACCAAGTAGTAAACGCAAGAAGGCAGAAATAACTACAAAGCTGACTGAAGAAGTAAGACTTAGTGAAAAAAATAAGTACTAAGACAGCTAACACGGTCCAAAACTTTAAGTTTGATATACCCTACAAAAAGGCCTTGTGCATTGAACGTTTCATTTAATTGTACTTCGCTTAGCAATGTATTATTCAATTTTCGCAATGTGTTTACGATGTCAGACATAGTGGATTCTCAAGACTCGCCTGAAGTGGCAGGTATGTCATTCCCCACGGAATTTGAAAATGAGGCAGAATTAGGCCTCAGTTCTACTCTTAAATATGAAAGAAGTCGATATAACAATGCCAGTGTATTCCTGCCAAATACTCCAGTCATCATAAAAATTATACATTCCTGCGAGTCACAGCTTGTCATTGGTAACGAGTCATCAGATGAACCAAAAAAAGATACATTGAGCGGGAAACCGATTCCTAATGGCAGTCTAGTTCTCACAAATCAGAGTTGGTATATCTTGCTGAAAACATATAACACAGATTCTATTTAGGTACGAGATGAAACTTACTCATGGAGACTTTGAATGGTATATCTATCGTAGTATTGGGGATCTGAAGAGTTTTCATACGTCTTTCATGCTAGAAAGAGCTCTAATGTCAATCAGTAATAAAAGGTAATCATAAGTCACCTATATATTCTCGAAAGAAAAGAAAACCGTAGAAAAATTAGTCCATTTCCACCAATGTTAGATATGCTTTCTGGAAAAAAATTATGTGATCGAAGAGTAATGTTTAGTACATTGAGATATTTCTTGTAGGTTATGTTAGAAAAGTACCTTCAAAGCATAATCGATGTCCAAGAATATCGAGAAACAGACTTAGTCGTGAGTTTATGAACCTATTATTTTCTGCTTATTTTGTGCAACAGATGTTTTTGCTTATTGCTGACTATGTTGTCTTTGACCCTTATACCAGAAACGATTTACCTTGAGCTCATTGCAAGGCATAAATATGAAACCTATGTTTATATCAAGGTTTCAGTTAAATTCGGCGATTATTGACTTACAATACAAATAAATTCGTGAATGAGATTATTGTTAAGTGTTTCGGATTGTTCATATACATTAAAACCACTCGATGTGTCAGTCATCACTTCAAAATGACTGCAAACAGGGATGTCGTGGATATATGCTTCGACCTCTTCACCTACGCTGAGATATATACTACCCAATTTGAATCAGTAGCCAACAAAACCTTCATAGGATGAGTTTTCGCGCGAAATTTTGTGCTTTCACTGATACCGGTGAGTTGAACCGTCAGCTGTGAAAAGACAAGCATATTTTAGAAGCCTGTTTTGTCCTTCTCTATTGATATAAGACACTACTCCTAATTTTGAGAGGCGAAATGTCAAGCATTTTGGACTAACTTTTTCATGGTAACTAGTCTTTGAAACTCTAATCTTATTTTGCGGCGTTTTGCATGGAAGCTGAAACCAGTTACTCCGGTAGGAGTTTTGACCACCATATGAGCAGATTTGAGTTCCACACAAAGTATATCTGACCATGGCTATGGAACCTTGATACATTGACCCGTGAAACTGTCAGTCTCAATATTGGAGACGGTAAAGTCAAAAAAGCTTGTTCTGCTACTATAATGTAAGGGTGAAAAGCCGAAATCGTTTTGATTGCATTTTATAGCAGAGATACAAAAGTTATATTATGTATGTAAATACGTTATGTTATTTCTGAAACTAATTATGTTCATATATATATATATATATATATATATATATATATATATATGGATGTACAGTTTGAAAAAAAAATTTCAGGATATATTTGGTGATAATTCCTAGATTCTGTTGGCCTCTGACGCAGCAGGCAAAACTAATGCAGAACCTCATACAGAATAAAATCAGTTCAAGTTTTCATACTACACAGTAGAATAAAAAGAACAAGTGGATTGAAAAAGACTGATATCAGAGATAAAGAGATGGTTAGGTGGAAAAGAAAGTTGAGACTGAAGGCTGCCGAATATTTTCAAGTTTAAGAGGACATTGAGGATTAAATATACCTGTGCCACTGTAACCTATTTTCAACCATTTTAAAAAGGGTCTTTAATCATTATTCCAATGATCTCGATGACCCCAACCAGAAAGTCTGCATATCGCATACAATTAAGACCAAGAGTAAGAGACTTCACCGATCCGTGCCACTTGTTAGTTCAGAAAAACGGAGGCTTCTCCTAACCTACCTCAACTTCTGCCAGCACTCAACTTATGGAGACGCGATGGAATGCAGAACATATACTCAAGCCACCTTAGTCAATCAAGGTTAACAAGCCTAATTTGCCCGTCTTGCCTAGTAACCTTCGTTTGACCTCCAGAATGCCAAAACAGTGAATTAACCATACGCAATCAATGCTATGAAGATGTCTGTGATTATAAACTTGTAGTATCTCCATGTCTTCTAATTTCAGTGACTGTGTCTAACAGATGCATAACATGACAAGAAGTATAGCATAGCAGTATCATCATTCTTCAATAAGCAGTTGGATATATCGTCAGCCAGTTCGAGAGATGACACAAGTTGGCAATATGTAAAAGTGGTCTATGCATTCCACCACTTCACTCCATGTGGGTAGTTAAACATCGGTTGCGAACCATCATCTTACATTTGACAGATACGAGACCCACAAAAGACATACACAGATCTCTGTTTAAAGCGTTTGGAAGACACTGTATTTTGACTGAGTCTCCACATAGCAAGACAGTGCTGTCTAGGTACTCCAAGTTAATCAGATGCCCTCCAGGGAGGGTAGATCAATCCCTGTGAAGTCAGACTGACCTATGACGAGGTTGAACAGAAATGGTGGCATCAGATATCTGTGATGGAAACCACAGGTTGCCACCAACTAGAACGACAACTCCTCACAAGCTTTTATACAGCTGCATGAATTTGAATAGAGAGCTTTGATTAGCTTTATACAGTCGCTTGGTACTCCTTTCATAGTCAGGCACCGTCATGACACTTCATAGTCAATAGCATCGAATGCTGCCTTCAGGTCAGAAATTGTGGGAAATGTCAGCAACTGGCCGGAAAGTATGCGTTTTCCACAACGCGACGAAAGGTAGAGATATGATCGATTCACCCTCATCCATGTCTGAAATCTGCCTGGTTTTCTAGAGTTTTTTGTTCTCGTGCTCCAATTAGGCTCCGAATAATTATGGACCATAGGATCTTGAACATAGTGTTAGTCAAACTGACTCGTGTGGTAGTCATGAAAAGGTCTCTGTTCTGTCTTATAAACTGGAGTTTTTAGTTATACAGGGTAGCCTGGTGCGATTACGTCGGGTGAGGTTGCGGAAATCTATTGACGTTTGCTAACACTTTGACGTAATTTACCAGCCGTCTTTACCGTTGTTTCTACAGTACACTGAATGTCATGCCAGTTTTCCTCAGGATGAGCAGTTTTGTCACCTTCAGATAGATGCAGACCTATCTCCTCCGTGAATGCGTACTTGAAATTCTCGTCTTCCACTCGAGCATACGCACGCGTTAATGACATCCGTTTTCTGTTACCAATGAGACGCAGATATAAATGAGCCTGTACTAGCGCATGGTGGAAGTCCGAACAGGTACTTCAAAACAGCATCAGTTCTCCACTGATCCCCTCAACTAAAGCTTTTTGTCCGTATTATCTGTCTGCATCCTTCACTGATTCGACGTCAGTGGATCTAGTATGACGCTTCGTCTTTCTTAAGGCTTGAATTTCGTATCGGGCAGAAAAAAGTGATTTCAAGAACGAAATTGCAACAGAAGATCACGTTGTCAATTCGTTGGCATGGGATACTGTGAATACCTCTCAGATGCTTTTCCGATTAGCTCAGCTTCTCTCTCGTCTGCTAGTGTGACTGTATCTAAACATTTTGCTTTCTGTAGCAAAACTGGTGGCCTTTTATAGAAATAATCTACTTTCTTCGTTGTTTGAACTGTAGTCGGTGAGTGTGTAGGTTGGGTTTACGAACAGGTGTTTCTCAGTTTCACAATGCTCTGCAGTTATTACAGTCATATCGAATGAAACATCACACGGACCGCCATAGACTGACATTCAGTAACGAAGTGTGCATTCTGTTCTATAACACAGTGCTATGCTTACGCCAGCGACTCTGTGCGTGCTAGCCATTGAATCTTCGGATACTCGTAAGTGGAATTTCGAAGACTCACCCTCAGCAGGTGAAGTCAAGTTAGCAACCACACTATATATCCTTTATATATGTCTCGAAAACACAGCATGTATCAACGGCTCGAGTTTTAGAGTTCTTGTAACAGATGCCCACTGCCCACGGTATATGGTTGGGAGGTTGAAATCTTCAGCAGAGTGTCAAGAGACTAAGAATGGTGCTTCACTGGCTTTGACCTTTGCCAATGTTCTCAGAGTGAGAGGTTAAGGAAGTTCTAAGAGATTTTACACTCGTATCAGGAAGTGAAGACAATGGAACAGACAACATTGAGTAGGAGAAGTTATGATTGGTTGGGTTTTATATACTACTGGATGAGTGCGAGCGGTTGACACTTCCCGGTTTTCTATATCATGGAAGGCTAGTTGTCCCTAGGTTACTTAAAAAAAGTCAGTGCGTGACCACAGACCCCAAGGATCATCATCTTGAGGCTGGTCATACATGACCATTTTGAAAGTTTGAGATTTAAGCTTATTAGTTTTGGCTCTGACTATAAACCGATATTAAATCACCAGCAATGAGATTCTGCGAGGTATAAAGGAGTGGGCTGTTTTTAAGTTTGACCTTTCCTAAGTCCTCCTTCCTGTTAGTAAGGCAGTATCGGTATAACACTGCTAGTCATCTATGGGAAGCATCTTATTGCTGTCATACCTCATCCAGCTAGCTATACGAATTCTTCTTCAGATCTCTATCATAGCACAGCAATTTACACCATAGTGGCAACTGCCTTTTGCCTTATCATTATACGACTGACATTCCTGCTGTCTTGGTACGTAATCGGAACAAAGATTCCATCAGCACAGTTCGTCGGGTCACTGTGATATGCAAGCCCGATCACCACGTCAAGGGACCGGGTATCGGCTAGGGTCCCGTAAAGCAAAGTAATAATAAAGAACCTGATGAATATTGGTGAAACTCCCTTTGATCAGTGTCCACTGCTACACTTTTGCTGAAATCAGTTTCCAAATATCGACGTTTGAATCAATCAACCAATTTACTTGTCAGTTCAAACTACTACTCTTTCTTCTTTGTCATGAGACTTGCAAACCTTCAGTGATTCAAGTTACCGTTCCCAGTTACGTCCTACTGTGGCAAATGGTTTAACGTATAGTAGGATTAGATTAGAACAAGGCGAAGTGTAATCAGAGTGAAATGTGGTATCAGTATATGAAGTCTCTGACAGTTGGTCTGAGCCATTTAGGTAGATGCAAACTTTTTGATTGGACTTCGCATTACAACCACAGTTGATGCTTAGAGACATCAGATGATATTGATCAGAATCGATTGCAATAGAGTAAATGCACCAACATTTTGTACTCCTGATAACCATCGTATCAAACTTCTTGATTTACTTCAACACTTGTTTATAATTTTCACCAACATTTGATCATATTATACAGATTTTTCTATCACTTTTTGTGTCACATGGTATTTTGATATATTGTCTTAGGGTTTAATATTTTGAAATGTTTTGCATCAATGTCAATTTCTACTTTAATGTTAACCAACTAACTGCTAACAGTAGGTGGAATTAAATAGACCTTGAAAAACAGGAGAAAAGAAGTGGATTTGGGTTCAGAAATAAGTAGTAAAAGCAAGAGGAGATAAACACTGTTCATTGTTTAACGTATACGATATTCAAGACTAAGTATTCATGATGTAGGGGCCTAATACAAGATATTGATCAAGTAAGCGATACGTCAATTGAATTAATGACAGAAATGCACACATGATGTTTTGAATTTAATGATAATTTAGAGTCAGAAAAATGGTATTTGTGAGCAATCTACTCAATAATTTCTGTTTTTCAACCAAATAGTTAAGTAAACAGCTTCTTCAGTTAATGAGTTTCATCCATGAGTGTAAACACCACAAAAATATTTCTTTTATTATGTAAAGGTTCTAATGAAGATAAGATATTGATGACATATTGTACTTCCACCTTAACTAATAGACATTTTGAGTTAAACTGAAAGAAGTAGGAAATATAGACTGTTGGAATCCAACTCACTGACGCAATGGTAATATGCTGGCCGTGGAACCTGTAAGACATTGGTACGATCACTGGTTGTCTCATGAATGAGCACTTCTGAAAAGTCCTATACTAGGATGAAACAGCTGTTCAGTTCTCCCAGGTTTCCATTGTATCTCCAACTGTTGTCAGTTCATGATGAATACCAACATAAAATTAATAGATATTTGAAAAATGATAGGTTTTTCTTTTGAAAAATCAACTTTTTATATCAAGATTTTTTCACTGGTAAACTTAGCCTTTTACTTTACGCGGGAAATCATAAAATAAAGTAGACCAATGGAAAAACCTTACTATCTTTTTTCTAAATGTTTTTAATCTGTCTAACTGTTTGCAAAGTAGTTTACACAGATTTATATACCCAATATACTTGGTTAAATGTTTTGTCTATATTTCAAAACTTTTTCTTTTAGCTTCGATTTCTTGAGGTATCACCCTTGTCTTTCGTAAATTGTTCCAGAGGTTTAAAACTGAAGGAAGATTATGTTCACAAATTGCCATCTTATAACTATTTTAATAAGTATTGTTGTGCATCAAATATTTGTTTGCAAAAACGGTAAGTTGAACATAATTTTACAAAAAAATTTAGTTTATCATAAAATTAAATACACTGAGATTATATAAGGCTTCAGATTTTATTAACCCTGGGTACCTTTTATAAATAAATATTTTTAAATAGGTAAATTACTGATGAATCTGCTGCACAGATGGTTATATCTATGATTCATACTCTGATAACATAATGTATAATAAAAGCGTAGGTGGAGCGTCTCTAGTCTTCTCAGTGTAATAACTAATAGCCAATTAACAATAAAGCAAGCTTGATATTTTGAACCAAACTACAATGATTTTTTTAAAACAATCTTGTAATGTGTGGTGATAGCTTTCACAGACAAAATTGAACCATTTTATTGAATATTTTTTCATGTTATTACTGACACAATCAGTTATTTACAAGGTGATCAACTTCATTTATTTGAATTAAGGTTAAGAACTTACAAGAAATGAATGAATACTATATTTTTATTGGGTCACGATGATAACAGCTTGACTAATTGTCGACTCTTCATTGACACTCACTATTAAACAACTGATATCACCTCAATAAAAAAAAATTTAGTTCAGAACAATGGCTATAAGTTAGTTAGAATTCTCACTTGAAAATGGAAGAGAAGATTGGAAAATTTCTGTCTTGAAACTCTTTTCAGCATGCATTGTAGTCTTATCCATTCTTTAGACCACTAAATTCTGGCTGTGGCATGAATTGTAAGGATGAGCAATTTCTTCATTTAGTTGTATGGTGTTCTCTGAGCTGAGTTGTTTATTCGTGGAGCTTTCATCGTCTTTCTAGACATCATCAGCACTAGCTTCAAAATTGGGTGAACTGTCAGTATCTCTCCATTAGTGATTTAATAGCTTGCTCTGATGAACTGGTTTGTGATTGGTTGTTTCCTTTGATTGTTGTGTCATTGATCACATTGATTTTCTTGTTGGCTGTGCCTCTGCTTCACCTCTGACCTTTCTATCATTTAAATTTTGAGGGGGTTGTGGAGATTTGGAAATATTTCAAGTTGTTATTCATCGAAGACTGACATCAGTTGGAGGAACAAAGGAAACCTGGGAGCACTGGACAGCTGTTTCGTCGGCGGTTTACGCTATATCGTGAGCTAACAGAAGTTGGAAATATGGACCATTGGATTCTGACCCAGTGGCTAGCTCAATGGTAACGCGCTGGTCGCGGAACCTGAAGGTGGCGGGTTCGATCCCTGCTGGTGTGGGGTCGTGGGTGCGCACTGCTGAGGAGTCCCATACTAGGACGAAACGGCTGTCCAGTGCTCCCAGATTTCCTTTGTTCCTCCAACTGATGTCAGTCTTCGATGAATAACAACTTGAAATATTTCTATCATTTATCATTTTTTCTCATTGGTTGATATAATGGGTCTATGTCTATACGTCTATTGATTGGTGGCTGATCTGAATGTAACGCTTCTAGAATTACTCTGATATTCCTCTCTCAGTCCAAAATTTCTACATTGTCGAAATTGAATTCATGGCCATAGTTGCTATCCATGTGCATTGAAATGAGTGATACGTCATGACATTTAGTAGCCAATCCGTGTTCATGTAGACGAAGGTGAAGAGGGCGACCACTTTGTCCAATGTAGTGTTGACTACATTTATTGCAGTTGATTTTGTAATTGATAATCTGTCTATCTTGTTTGGTTGTTGCATCCTTTGGTTTGCATAACAGTATTTGGAGGGAATTTGTTGGTTTATGAGCCACATCAATTCCAAGTGGTCGCAGTAATCTTGTCGTGATTTCTAATATATTCTTTATGTATGGTAGGACGATGTGTTTATTGATTTCTGTCGATGACTTTGTAGTTGATGATGTGCGGGATAGGCATCTTCTGATAAAGTTTCGTGGGTAGCCGTTCGACATCAAGTAGTTTTCTTCGTTTCTCCGTGAAGTTGTATTGCGGTGTGTTCTCAAACTTTTGAACAGAGTTTGTCCGCAACCATTTTTGTCCGTTGTTGTGTTGTTGCTACGTTGTTGATTAAACTGTAAGTGTTTTCTATATCATCTTTTTTAACGATGACAAAAGTATCGTCTTCTCCTTCTTCAGTAGAACTTTGTGAGAACTTTCTTATCATCTTGTATAAACTCAGAACATGAATTTAACTAAGCGAAAGACATGCATAAGAAAATTTTGCTCTGACGCTTTAGGAGACTTCTCTTTGCAACTGGTTTCTAAGACACTTTGTGAACTTCAAGGTATTTTTTATGTATACAAGGAGATTAGCTACTTCGTGTGATTACTTATTCTCAAAAAGTGGTCCACGAAATTAGAGCAACACTAACACCTACTTTCAACACTTGTATATCCAAGATTGATTTAAAAATATCAAAGTGATAAAAAATAATCTCACACATTCCATTTACGTTTAACGCCATGAACAGTTCAGCTGTTTGTTTTTAAGACTTGATAACTCAACCTGAGAATATCCGGTTACTAGGTCATCATCCTTGCTTTTTTCATCACTTATATCTCAAGAAACACTTTAAATAATCCTACAATATGATGAATTATACTCATCCTTGCAGAAAATTATTATTCAGTAAGTAAAGTTATCTTTCACCACCGACTTTGATGGATAGAATATGAACTGAGCATATTATTTATTCATGAAGTTTTGTATGGTCATATTAGGATCGGCTACAATGTAGGAAGGTAAGACTAGTTTATCAGGCAAAGTCATGGAATGAAACACCTTCCTGTTGAAAAAACAGCTGTTAGTGCATTAGCATCCCTAAAGTGGAGTTTAGAAATAACGCTGTTTAATATTCTGGAACATCATTAAATGTTTCTGAAATTAATGAAGGTTTCTTGAGCACATCCGATGGAAATACTTTTTATTTTTACTCCGTATTTCATTGTTAAACTGATATTCAAGACATACTTTTTAATTATACTGTGGTTTTCCAAAGTGCATATAATGGATGACAAAAGAGCATTATAAATATGATTATGGTTTTCAGTACGTGATGAAGTTTACGCTCTATCTTGAAATCCTTTACAAACCCACTGTCTAATGAAGAGAGCTGAGACTTTGTTGACTTTGCAGTATGCAAGTGATTCTTTGAACTGTATTCATCTTGGTGACTTGAAATGGAAGTCAGGATGAGCTTCTAGTCCCACTTACTTCGCACTTGTCAGCTAGTGGCCTAGTGGGTAACGCTTTAGCGTTTGAACCAATAGGTACTTGGTTCTAGTCTCAGTGGAGACAATATCATTCACTGAAGTGTAAATATATTTAGCTGATGAGTCCCAAATAGGACTAAAAGCACGTCCTAGATTCCACTGCTAGTCACCAAGATGAATATGACATCATGAATATTCGGCATTTTCGAGGCATCCATGTAGGAGCTCATCAGTCAATAGCGGTCGAGAAATTCGGCTCTGAACTGCTGAACTCTGATTTAACGTAAAGACTGATATATCAGCGAAGTATTGATTTCAATAATATTGTTTATATTTTCCAAACTATCTGCAAATTAGTTAGAAGAAGGAACCAATTTATTCTAGTTAAGAACCCGAAAACCAATGATTTATTTCTTCGAAATGAAAAAAGACAGTACTTAGCTCTACACCGAGATGGATCATCAATTAATGTTGTACGAGAAGCTAAGAAAAGAAAACCATACCTATTGAAAAATATTCGGTTTGATTCATTTTTTTCAGTCAAAACTTATTTACGGTGAAACTCCGTTCCAAACTTACCATTCAGCCATATAGTAATGATGGATAGTGGCTAGCAGTGGAATCCAGGATGCACACTTTGTCCTATTTGGGACTCATCAGCTGGATGTACTTGTCTCCCTGTAAGCGATGTTGTTCCCGCCGGGATTCGGACTCGGGAGCGACTGCTTCATACGTGACAGCGTTATCCACTACACCACCGAGCCACGATAGCCACTACAAGCAAGAACGCTATTTTCATTCAACCAGTTGGAGAAACTGAGAGTAGTTCAAAGTTTAGTACTAACTGAGTGTAAAGACATCACAAACCATACTTAAACTTCAGAGTTATTACTCATTTTTTCGTTCTCATTTACTTCTTGTTCATTCAATGAAACACAACTGATAGAGTAGAAAAAATAAAGCCATATTATTTGTAATTGATATCCGACTGCTCTCCATAGCATAGGTTGTTGTTTAAACGTTTGATCAGTTTAAAACAATAACTTAGTAGCTTTAAAAGGATGATCAATTTGTAAATGATTTCCGAATTCCGCAGTCCATATTTACATTTCTTACAGCTGAGTCCTTTTTCAACTGTCACTTAGCTGTGATGTTAACAAGGTTTCTGCTGGAAGCCATTCAGTTGAGAGGTCACAGGGTGTAATCCCCGACACAAAAGTGTCACGAACTAGCGAAAGATACTACTAATGAACAACTTGAGTAGTTAGAAAGCACTCAAGCTGATCTGTAGTATTTCACCAGCCAAATCAGAATAATCAGAACACCAGTTGACCATTTCTCTCATTTAAAATCAAGCTCATCAGAGATGTACCTGAATAAATTCAGCTCATAGACCTATATTACTTTACGTCGCCTGAATTTGGCTAGCTAGCTTGGATGGACCGGTATACTTAAAATAAGATGATCAATGTGTTCAACTGAATTACTTCCTTCAAATACTTTATATGGATGATATGTATAGCGCTGATTTGCTTTCAAAACCTACTTCGTTGAATAGAAGCTCATAAATTTTAATTGTTATTTATATCTGATGAAATACAATTGATTTTCAATGATATCTTAGGTCCAGAATCTGCTACTGATTAATCAAACCACAAACGACAGTTTTTCTCAAGTTTTAAGAAAAATAGAATATTTCGTCCGTCTACTATGTAGTGGTATTATAATTTAAAGTTTCAGTTAGACGAGTGAAGCTTCATCAACTAGCAGTGATATTGAAGTTGTGTAATTTTAAGTCTAAATACAGTAAGGCTGGTATTAGCTCACTGGTAAATGTTTCGTATTTATCCTCTGTTTACTAATTTATTAGCGTTTTCATTCCTTTATTAGATGGCTAATTTTAAAGGATAGCTATTTTGTGTATATGAAACAACGAGGAGATAAAATTAAAGCCAAAGATATTGATAAATCAGAAAAAGGCAAATTAAGGTTGGCATATTCATTTGAGCTCAGTGGAAAAAATCGTTCTTGGCGTTTATGTAATATATTTTTGATCGATCAGAACTTTGCATTTAGAACAAGAGTAGTTGAACGATCAGGCCAATGTCAACTGAAGCTATACAACTCACTGGGGTAAGTGTTGAATTTTATGAATGTTGTGCTATTTTATTCTACATTGAAATGATACACACACTTAACTTTTTACGAGTTTGTATGATATTCGTTTCCATTCTACTGTTTTTAGTTAGATGAGCAAAACTAAATGATTTTATTTAATAGTTCTCAGCCTGAACTTATTTTCAAACCACTGTGTTAATAAAAAGAAAACTTACTAAGATTCTATGACTGGGCATTCATTTATGATATTTACCTTAAAAGTTATGATTCTAAACTTGTCATAATTCTCAAACGCTTCAAAACATCAGTTGTTTAATAAATGAAAAGATGGATGAGTTTCAAACGCAAGGAAATCAGTGTCGTTTTTACATCTTATTGACCCTAGAATAAGACGAAACACCTAAAATACCATTTGTACTTTTTTTCTGAGTTTATTCGATCACAGTGGTTACAAAAGGCATTTTGGGAGAGAGAAGAAGAAAACAAGTTCAGAAAATTATCAATGATTAATTTTTCAGTCAGCAGTAATTAACCGAGATACAAACAGGAACTTATATGAATAAAGAAGCCTACTTAGTCTTGTGTACTGCGTTAAGCAGCTAGCTAGCTAATACTTACTACTATTCATTGATATACTTGAAATTCTCAGTTGTTATACTGGATCGAATTGATCAACCTTCCTTAGCGTGCAGGATCCTATTTGGATGTCTCCATATTGTGCGAATATTTATTGTTATAATCTATTTGGTTATGGCTAACAGTGAAATCTGAACCAACCAAGAACCTATCACTCAACAAATATGCAGTGGAAGGAAGTGGAGATGGATTGGATTGGGCATACACTGAGAAGGCCGACTGGGGATATCATGCGTCAGGTCAGGTACTCGAGTAGAACCCAGATGGGAAGCGACGAGTTGGGCGTCCCAGCTGAGGGTGACATGGAGGAGATGGTGTGAGGAGGAAATGAGAGCTTGTGGGTTGTGGTGGAGCCAGGTTGAAAAGATTTCAGAGAAGAGAGTGGGATGGAGACGTGCTACTGAAGCTGTATGTTCCATTAGGAACTCAAAGGACTAATAATAATCATAATAATAATAAATAAACAGTGAAATCTAGGACGCGCATTTAATTCTATTTAGGAGAATTACAAGTATACCAACAAACAGTGTTAACTGATACTCGTTGTACAAGAGGTGGCGTTTGTGCTTCAGTGGTTTAGTGGATGACGGTTCGGTGCTTAAAGCAATAGGCACAAGGTTTGAGTCTCAGTGGGAATAACATTATTTCCCGAGATGCAGGTAAATCCTAAATAGGACGAAACGCGCTTCCTGGATTCTGCTGCTAGCTACAACCAAGTCACTTATAGCCACATAGAATATAGAAAGAATAAGTTCTAAAATACTGTATTTCCTTCTCATGAACTTAGGAGTTTCGGCGCCCTTTAGAAAAGATTAGACCTTTATTTCCACTCAGTGATATGTAAAACTTATAACGTAGCCATTTCATGATTTCGCTTCACACTCCCAAACTTATTTACCCTTAGATTTTTAGTACTATTTGGATGCATTTCTTTTAAATGTCAAACAGATTAAGCTTAGTTTTCAGAAATTAAAGCCATAGGTTTTTCTGTATACTGCGAAGGCAGCTGTTTCATTCAGTTTCTAATATCACTATAATCTTTTTTTCAACAGCAGCAACAATAAAAGCTTTATTCGAAACAAAACTTTTGGTACAGTATGGAATTCTTAGCATGTACTAGTTCAACAGATTGATTCCTTGTACAATATCTTTAAGGGAAATATTCATTACCTTTGAATAATGTTGATAATAACGGTATTGAAAGCCACAATATAGAACAGGCACCTGGTGTTACATTAACGTCTGGTTTAGACTGGTGAATGAATAGAATATCGGTGGTGGTGGTGGTGGTAGTAAATTCAGCCGGAACCAAAATTTGCAGTCCGACATAGTTATCAAAGGAATAGTAATATACTGTATTTCTTTACATTTATAAACTCATCTCTTACCGCTGTCCCGTTTATTCTTTGAAATAAAAACAAACTGAAAGGGATGAATTTGATGAAAGAAATTTGTTGGAAAATGTTTGGTAGCTAAAAGTTTAAGTAGCCCGTAGTTCAATAACTCTTCAAAATTGTTTTAAACATAATATTGCATAGATTGTATTGAATATTTATTGCTGAGGTTGTGAATGTTTAGAATAACTTTTTCTGTGAGCTAGAATTTTATTTGACAAACTAACATCCTAAATCACAAAACGCTTCACAATGAACATTATGTTCTATAACGATGTAAAATAGAATTACTATAAGAGTAAAACTTAGGCATTGTGGAAGACTGTAACTCCATTTTAGTTGGTTTATTAGGTGTATAACACAGTGGAATAGCACCGTTTGCATTGATTAGTCACTGGAGGGCAACAAATTTCATATTGACCTGCTCCAAGTGCTGACTGAATTCTGTCGATCGTTTTGCAATGTAGCCCCTAAATTAGGAGGCTGACGATTATGCTGCACTTACACAGATGTTAGTTGGTTGGGGACGATGGGCAGGAAACATTGCTTGACCTAGGTTTGTGCCTGTTTGCAATTATTGCCTACGGACATCTAAAACCTTGAAGGAAGTGATATCTTCTATGAAATTCAAGCCTGGGTCACCATTGACCAGTCCGTATATCTAGTTCGGTACTGTAGAAGGTCAGACGTTGTCCACATATCTCAATGGTGATGTTACTGACTTCAAAGCTGGGTGATGAGGATTGAAATCTCATAGGAGATAATAATACTCTCGAGGTTGCAGGTTGGCCTTGCTGACGAGTGCCATCAAGCACGAAACCTAGGTCAAGATCTTCCTGCCGATTACCTCCAACAAACATTTATGCAGTATTACTTACTGGATTATGTTTCGGACACAAGTTATTGTCGATTTTCTTATTAGTATAAACCCATAACTTTGAGACATGGTTTATGTGGCACTAACTTTCTCGTCTTCTTTAAGATATAAAAAATAGGATTTTCTGTATATCTCGAACAAGTATTGAGTCATTTCTCTTGCATATCTTGGGTGTAGATTCAAGAAAAAAAGATCTGGTTATACTTTATATATGCAGTTTTTAATAAATAGGTATCATAAATGTTCATAGGCACCTTTAATTTTAGTATACAGCAAAATTTTGGCTGCTGAAATCAAGGTAGCTGATGAGAATAATGGAGAAAGTAACATCTAAGAATGATGTACGGTGACTACTTCAATGACACTGAATTTTATTTTACGAATTCAAACTTTTAAAACATCCGAAAAGTTTATTTGAGAGTTTACTCTTAAAACTTAAGTTCCTATAACCTTATGATCGAAGATTGTTGATATTTTGTATGTTAAAAAAGAAATAAACCATGCACAAATGTGAAAATACAAATAGATGAAAACTGAATGAAAAAATAAACAAAAAACTGTGTCACTCTTGTTGAATTGAAACAGATGGAAACACAAATACCAATAGAAAAAGATCTAAATTTTAAAGTATTTCTGACCAGAAAATCAGCAACGTGTTTTGAATAAATAAGAAAAATATTTTCCTTGTTTATTCTATTCCACAAGAAAATGTTGGATTAAACTTTACTACCTTGATAAAGCTTCACTCTCATGTTTGTTTTTTCAGAAACTATGTTTAACTGGAAATTAACTAGTTTCATGTAATTGAATCGAGGGTTATTAAAAAGGTGAAAGAGAAGTATAAAAAAAAATAGGAAATCACTAAGAGATAAAGATAAGAAAATTGAATGTGAATTAGAGATAATAAGATATGGAATTAAATGATACTTACTGTTCACCAAATTTTGCTATATATGTTGATCAGTTTTTCAGCAAATATTCAAAAAGCATTCAATATTATTTTCATCTGTTTCATAGACGTTGATATAAAGAAATCTATAGTTCAGCAAACACTTAAAGGTAGCTGTGAAGACTGTAATAGATAATACAGAAAGGGATAAAAGTAACTAGTCTACTTTTGAGTAGTAACAAACACATCACAAATAATTGATCTTATTGTTTGAGTTTCCCTTTTATTATACTCAGGACTAATCTTATTATTGTCAGTTTTGTCGACATCACATTCAACTGTCGTTTATTGTCTTGTTAACACATTCTTCCGATTAATCTAGATGAATTCTATCTTAAATTTTTTATTTTTTGAGGGGGATGTGGAGATTTGGAAATATTTCAAGTTGTTATTCATCGAAGACTGACATCAGTTGGAGGAACAAAGGAAATCTGGGAGCACTGGACAGCTGTTTCGTCCTAGTATGGGACTCCTCAGCAGTGCGCACCCACGACCCCACACCAGCAGGGATCGAACCCGCCACCTTCAGGTTCCGCGACCAGCGCGTTACCATTGAGCTAGCCACTGGGTCAGAATCCAATGGTCCATATTTCCAACTTCTGTTAGCTCACGATATAGCGCAAACCGCCACCCAATGTCATCGTTGAGCATTTGTCCTCACGGCCATCAGGCTTTGACTCCACCGGCCATTGGAACTTCGGGAATACTTCTCGAAGCTAGTCGGAGCTAGCCGCGGAACCTGAAGGTCGCGGGTTCGATCCCTGCGGGTGGGGTCGTGGGTGCGCACTGCTGAGGAGTCCCATACTAGGACGAAACAGCTGTCCAGTGCTCCCAGGTTTCCTTTGTTCCTCCAACTGATGTCAGTCTTCGATGAATAAAAACTTGAATTCTATCTTATTTTTTGTAAAATTATAATTTATTAAATAGTTAAGTGTATTTTGATATCAATAGAGATTTTTAATTTTAAGGTAGTATTCTTCATGAACTGACATCATTTAGAGTATCAGTGAAAACCTGGAATATTAAAATACATTACTGTATAGTGTTCATTAGTGACTCTCTTCGAGATGGATATCCCCAATTTCTATTGAGAAGTCGTGATCAATGGAGTCAATCAGTTAAAAGTAAGGAGGATATCAACTGAAAACCTTGGTGGATA